CTTTTTTATTTATTTCATTTAATATATAGCTTGATATTAGTCATCTGTGATAAGGGACATTTTGATCTGAAACAGGAGAGGAGCAAAGTGAATTGAAAATTAAAGACAAGTGTTGCTTTGCTATGTCAACCTTGAGAATGTACTGTAAGGCCAAGTAGATTACATCTATAAGGACATACTAAGTTTTGAATTGCTAGGAAATTGAAGATACAAGGACTTTTGCTTTGTTAGCTCCATGGAAGACTATTCTTTTTTCTTTCCTCATGGCTGTTTGAATTTTGTTGAGATTAATAGCTTTTGTGCTGCTAAACTGCCTTATGGAAACTTTTTTTCAGGTTTCAATAAAAGCTTTATCCCTGAACAGTTTGCAGAGGGAAAAAAATAAGGTTTAGATTTAACTTTGATTGAATATATTAAGTTCATTAGGTCTGTCTTCTGCTTCTACCCTCACTCGTGAAGTCCAAGTATCGTTAATATTATAAAATTCCAATTATAATATTATAAAATTTGATAGTGGTTGTATTCTGGGTATCCCTCTGGTTCTCCCTAAAATGGAGGAGATACAGGGCTAGGGTAGAGTCTGAGTCTGGGAAAGTGTTCACAGATGTAACTCATGTAAGATTATAAACTCTAACCCTTATAGAACCCATCAGAGAATGTACTTGAACAGTCCTGGTACAAATCAGTAACTAGCACGCCATCAATCAATAAGCTTTTATTGGCTGCCTGCTCTGGGCCAAGCATTGACCTCTCATCAGCAATCCATACTTCTACTGTGTAGGATACTTCCCCTCCTTTCTGTGCTGTTGCCCCAGGAGTACCTTGTCCTCCACAGAAAAAGAATTATCATTAATTGTCAGCCTTTTCAATGGTGCAATTTGATTTAGTGACAACTCTTTCCATCAGTATTTGAATACTAAAGAGTTCCCAGGTGTTTTTTATTTTTTGTTTTTTGTTTTGGTTTTTGGCTGTTAAGAGGACCCGTTTTAATTGAATTCTCATTAGCACTGTTGCATTAAGTATAGTAACCCTTCATGGCTTTGCACGATTGCTCAGTTTCCATTACAGAATGTATTTGTCGTGACTTCCCTCAGAAATGACAATCCCTGTGACTACATCATCCACAGTCTTTGGAAGACAGACTATTTTAGCCATCTTGTCCCCTTCTCAGACCTCAGCAGAAATTGCTCGTTGCTCAAGTGAAGGCACTGGCTACAGTACCTTGCAAAGCAGCCATGAATGGGCACTGCCACTGCTGCTATTGCTGTCTTTGTTATGTGAATTAACAAGTCAGTAGTCAAAAGGGATATATTCCAGTTAAGAGAGGAAAAGTTAACTGTGTGGGATTGCCTTTATTTCAGTGAGTTTTGACACAGTGAATTAAGTTATACATAATGAAATTAGAACCGACCAGGTAATGCTTGGTGATAGATGATCCTCAAATCTCAGAGGCTGATGACAGTAAAGGTTCATTTGTTCTTTATTGTACATGTCCATATAGGTAAACGGTGGCTCTCTTAACATTGTTTTCACTCTGTAACTTGAGTTGATAGAGAAGCCTCCTTTTGTATCATTGCGCATCTCGAGCTAAGGGAAAAAGAAAATTGCCACATACTGACTCTTAGTGTCCTCTGGGTAAAGACACATGTCACTTCTGTTCATATTTCATTGTTAGTTCATTTCACATGACCAAGCCTGGCTTCAAGGGTGCTGAGAAATATATAATCTTGCAGGGAGGGACAACAAATATGGGTGAACAATGATTTCAGTCTGCTGTAGTCTGTTCAGCTCTAGTGAGAGGATATATTTTTTTCATTGTATTTATTGAAGTATAATGAGCACATAGGGACATTTCTTAATATCCAACTTATTATTTTTTCAGTGACTAGGTTCACAGGGCCTGCCTGGTGTATGCCTCATCTATGTGTGTTTGAAGAAACAGATCATTGCTGTATCCACAAATATTTTAAAAATAAGTGACAGTGATATATGCCTGTTTGAAAAACACTTGTGGTTGACAGTCCCTTAAGCCCCAGTGATTTCACCCATGCAGGAAGAATGACTTATTCACAAAATTTACATATGCAGAGATTTGCATTTTCTCTAGTCAATAATAATGATAATGATAATTGCCAACGCTCTATAGCACTTACTATAGTCTAAGCATACACTATTCTAGGAGCTTTGCAAATGTTCACTTGCTTCCATCTTTAAACAGTGCTGTGAAGAAGATACTATTTTTATTTTGTAGGAGAGGAAACTGAGGCACAGAGCAATTAAAACCATGCCTAGTAACAGAGCTAGTAAGTGGAAGAGTACTGCCCTCTCATCTAGTTAGAACTGGATGACTGGCTTCTTTTATAATTTCTTCTTACGTTTTCCTTCATAGTGCGGTGATGTATACTCAGGTGCAGACGGGAAAAAAAAAAAAAGCACTAGCATTGAATTAGGCTTTTTCCATGGTTAGGCAGTCTTCAGTGTTTCATTCGGTTTGTCTTCATCTTACTGCAACTGTTTAACTTAGATATTGTTACTTCCCTCGTTTTACAAATGAAGGAACTTGAGTTTATAAAATATTAGTGACATTTTCTTCACCTCAGACATACAGAAGTGTTGCTAGAACTGAGAACTGACCTAAGGTTTGCCTGGCTTTACACAAAGCTGGATACTATCTCTGCACCATGAATCTACTCTTTCAGTAAAAGCAAAGGATGATCAAAAGAAACAGAACTTCATGGGTTTGGTTTGTTTTGTTTTGTTTTGTTTTTTTTGCCAGCACAGTATATTCTTCCACATCTCTGAATTGATTAATAATGTTATATTTACTCACATGATGAGAGCTAAGTACAGGATCCATGGAATATGTCAGAATAGCAGCATCTGTAGAATAATCTTGCAGTTAGACTGACTCTCAGTAAGATTTTATTCTCTGTGATGAGCTTGTGACATGAGTTTATTAGAAAAGACTGGAATATTGCTGCCAAATATCCCAGTATACTTTGAGATACAGCCTGGTTATTACTTATTTTTCTCAAAATGAATATTTAAGAAGAAATTCGGTTTTATATGTCACAGCTGTCTTCATTCATTTTTGCTGAAAGGAAGTTCTATTGAAATTAAAAAAAAAAAACAACTTTGTCGTTTTCTCTTAATACATCCTTTTATTGAAAAGCAGAACAATGTGACCTCTACTACCAAACATTTTAAATGTCAGGAACTTGCAGTTTTAATTGATACAAAAATGCTAGTGTCTTGTTCTTACCTAGGGTTACATTTTTTGTCTGTTTTTGTTGTTGTTAAAACTGAAAATTAAATGATTTCTTGCTTTTCCATCTTACCTGTTTCCTATATTCAAGAAGTATTTAAAAATATGTGAGTGCTTAGTGTTATGCTAGGTATTTGGAGTTATTGGAAATAAGTAGTCTCTCTCTGATATCCAAGCAAAGCTTCACTCTCATGTAGGTAGGTCATCAGCTGCACTCTAATGAGATGCCATGGCTGTTCATTTTTCTATGTTGAGTTCATTCATAGTATTCACTGAGTTCTGTTCTCCTGACTAGGACGCTGAGTACAAAGAAAGAAATGAGCCAGTTCCCATTGATGGCAATACATATTATAGTTTTGACATTTTTGTTTCTAGAGTTTTGAAGTTATTTTTAAAGTACTAAATACATACATATATTTTTTCAAAATATCAATCCCCAAATGCCTAGTGAATTAAAAATGACAATTTCTGTCTTCTTTCCTCTTTCTGCTCACCAACGGTTTGCACATATTTTTGTGGAGTTTTTTCTTAGGAAAATAGAACAATCATACATACCCTCAGATTTTTACATTTTGAGAAAATAGCCTTTATTGTCCTGTCAATTACTTTTTTCACCTAACAGCACATAATAAATATCCCTTCATGGTAGTACCTCTAGTTCCATTGTTAGGCACAGATTTTTCAGACATGTCTGTCAATTAGTTCAGCTTCATGGGCTTGCTGTGCCTAGGATTTTTTCAGTTTTTAGTTTGTTGCTATTACCCTCTCTTGATTTTTATCGTAATTTTTTGATATATATTTTTTGTCTGGGGATCTATTTTGAGTTAAAAGAATGTGTTTAATCTGTCTTTAAATGAAAGTCAATTTTAAATTTTTATTGGTTTGAATTCTCTTCATTAATTATTTGAAGATATTTTTAAAGTCATGTCTCTACCACATGTGATGAAAATTTCTATCATGGTTCAAAAAATTTTGAGTTTTTCTTCTGGGTGTCAGTTGATATTTTTTAAATAAATGCTTTCTCTTTAAATAAGTAATCTAATTTGATCTGACCCCCAAACTCTTTGAAATTATAATTAGAATTGATCCAAAGAAAATCTAGCCAAAAAACAATAAAAATAATTGCAATTTCATAATCCTAGGACCTTTTAGAAATGTTCAGTGACTGACAATGCATGTGTTGAATCATTTTAAATATAGTAGCAAAATGAAAAGTAGAGCATGGAGCTTGGAATCAGACCCGAGTTAGAATCCCAACTGTAGAGCTTAGAACAGAGAGCAGAGAAGGTTTTCAACAACCCAGGGAATCATCTTAAGACTGCAAAGCCTTTTCTCTACCTCATAATGTTTTGAGAATCATGGGAAAGGACATGTGAAAGGCTTTATAATACAAGTTTCAACACATAGTAAGGATTTATTCTTATTGCATTTGCTTCTATCATCTGAAAAAAACACACGTAGTAAAGGAATAACACTAGTTTTAGGAAAAGTATATAAGATCAATGTAATATACTTTCTGTGAATGATATTAGTAGGTTGATATAATAACTGGTCGTGAAGTTCCCTCCTCTCCTTCTACCAGAAAATAAAAAGTCAGCCTGTAACCAGAATATTTGAAAAACTCAGTAAAAACCTCACTACTGTTGAGTCATAAAGGCACATTGAACAGAGCCAGCTGAAGTGGGGATGTAAGTTCAACAATAAATACCTAATGTGATTTCTCTCTTATTTTCAGTGTATTTGAATGAAGCAGGGTTTAACTTTGTGAGAAAATGCATTCAAGCTGTGGAAACAAGAGGTCAGTGTTGCCTGATAGGTATAGCATTCCTGTCATGTGTCTCATTTTTAGACAGAAACCTCTCAGAGTAGAAATGAAGATGTATTTAGTCATTTAACATGCGATAAATTTGAAGAGTGATATAAATGTATGTATCAGTATACAAATAGCTATATCTTGAGCTTCAGTTAACTAAAAATCATGCTTTAGGCATACTTGTCTTTCAACTTTTTTTCTAAAATAGCCTACCTGTACTTCTTGTTGATAAACTGTGCATTATTTATTATTGCGAGCCCCTCTTTGATTTTTTTTCCTCCGAAGCATTGAGGAGGTGAGATTCCTAAGGAGCTTGTCCTCACTCCCTTCCTTCCCTATATTCTTTCTTTCACTGATTTGTCACTGCCACAATTTTGGCACGTTTCTTCAGTCTAATCATCACCTCTGTCTTGAATTTCACTCCCATTAAATGTTAGACTCACTGTCAGGAAAAGTTGGCTAAAGCAAAATTCATATTGGGCTTTGGAGTTTTATAAACTTACATTTAAATGTTAAGTGCTGCCACTTCAACGTCTTGAGAAGTTAAGTGGTTGTTTTGAATTCTCTGAATCTGTCTCCTCATCTCTAAAATGAAGATAAAATGCCAGAGGACTTTTCAACATGCAGGAGGACTCCATGACTCTGAAAAAATAGAAGATAAGGAATACTGATCATCCCTTCCCATCTCCAATGCTTTTTAAATATTCGAATCATGGTGAATAGGCAGCTACACTTTGCTACTTTGAAAATCTTCAAAGACTTTCAAGTCACTGTTCAATGTCTGCTCTGGGAAATAGAAGTCTGATAGGTATTTCCAGGGTAGGTTTGCTAAAGTTAGACTGCAAACTTGGATAAGTAGCTTTCAAATTTTGTTAAGCGTTATGTCTGAGTTTCTAACACTCTGTACTTGCCAAGCTGTGTCTCAAGCCATTTTCTTGTGATTTTCCTTCCCATTAGGTATCACCATTTTAGGCCTCTATCGAATAGGAGGAGTGAACTCCAAAGTTCAAAAACTCATGAATACCATATTTTGTAAGTTTTGGATGAAGCAACTTACTTACATAATTTTTGTGATCTTATAGGTAATCTAAACTGTAGCCTTTGAGATGTAGGTTAGTACTTGTCTTTGAATATTTTCAAATGATATTTGAAGTTCATATTTGTATTTGGTTTCTAATGTTCATTTATAATAGATGAACAATCAGAATTTGAGGGGACATTTTAAAAATACTGTATTTTTTTTTCTCTCCCAAGTGTCCTTCGGTAAGCTAGAGATATAATAAGATGCACTTGATGCTAGCTAGAGTCATTTGGAATCCTAGCTCAGCCGCTTGGAGGTTTTGTGACCTTCAGTAATTTGGTTAACATCTTTGTGTCTCAGCCTCTTCATTTATAAAAATAGGGATCATAATGGTGCCTGCCTCTTAAGAGTCATGAGGACTGAATATGTTAGTCTCTGGAAAGCACTTAGAAGCATGCTGGTCACATGGAAAGTGCTCTGTCATGTTAGCAATTAGCAATAATTTGATTTGGGAGATTTATTCCATAAGACATATATTTGAGGTTTAGTGCCGGCTTTTTATCAATTCACACAAACAACAATCCTAAAGTTAACTCTTGGCATTCTAAGAAATTAGTACCTCTCTCTTTTGACCTACTTATGTTTGTATCCATTTTTCATAATTGCAGAAGGAATATTTTGAATTGTTCAGTTTAAAACATCATGTTTTTATTCTTTCCAGCTCCTAAATCCCCTCCTGATATTGATATTGATATTGAACTGTGGGACAATAAGACGATAACGAGTGGGCTGAAAAACTACCTCAGGTGAGGAGGGTTGAACTCCTGGTACTCTGGGTGCAATCAGACTCACCCCTTGGGTACTAACCACGTGACTTCATGGAATCTGCTTCCAGAAACTTCACTCGGTAGCTCAGTTCCCTCACATAAGGTGAAATAGCACAACATGGTAACATTTACATTTATTGTTCTCGAACTTGTACTTGAATTTTTTTCAATAATAATTTTAAAAGGTATATAATATTTTGAGTACTGAATTAGTATTTGTTGTTTATATGAAGTTTGCGTATGGGATTTTCATGTCGGAAAGTTGTGTTGTTTTTGTTTTTTGACTATTGTTCCCTTATTTGTTCCTGTGGTAAAGTAATTCTTACACTGAAAAAAGTGTTTCCCAGTCTTTCCTCTTAGTGGAGTCGTGGAAAGAAGTACTAAGGGGCATTGGTGTCTTTGAGGTCTGCATTTGAGGTCTGTCCGTGGCCCTACTACTGGAACTCTATAATACTGACAAATCACCTAATTCTTTTTTATTTACTTATTTATATACTATTTTATTTTATTTTTTTTTTAACTGATGAATAATAATCACCTAATTCTTAAAGAAACACTTAAAGTTTAGGGGATAAAATAGATACTACCATTCTAACATGTGCTTCACTTCTTTGTAGGTGCCTTGCAGAACCGCTGATGACTTACAAGTTGCACAAAGATTTTATCATTGCTGTTAGTAAGTATACTTGCATCACATACGCATTATAATTGATGTCGTTTTATGCTGCCTTAGGCAAATATTACTAGTATTGGCTAGTGAAGATTTTTTTCAAATATTGCTTAAAAAGTTGTCAATCTGATATTTAGCCGTTTATAATGTGTTTAGAAGCCAGTAAGAAATTGCAGAATTAACTGAAATATTTTGACACTTAGTAAGACCTCATTGCATAATAGTCTGATGATTAGAAAGAACCATGAGGAATTATTCTAATTTTATTTTACTTGAATGACAAATATCAGTTTCTTATAGGAGCAACTAAGCAGGACTCCAAATATGTACAGACGGTTACATGGCTGCACATGCTCGTGCTATATTCTCAATCTGGAGATGAGTCAAATAGTTTTGGCAGGAAAAAGGTGCTTCTATCGATCCCCTCTTTTCCATATTTTATTTGCGATGATCGCATTTTTGTCATTTGTTTAGATCTGTGACTGCCATCATGTGATATGAATAGATAGATCAATTTAAAATATTAGCAGGGATAGTTGGCATATGTAATCTGAGAAGTTGGTAACATGTATTTGTAAACTATTGAGACTGAAGTGCCAGGTACCATCTGAGCCCATCACAGCAACTTGTAACAATTAAGAGCTGGCATTTCATTGTTAAGATGTATGAGGTGTGACTGCAACTAGATTATTTTCACAATCCAAGGAAGAAATTAGTTGCATGAGTTTATTTGTACACATTGTAATGTCACAGGAAATGTGTGCTGATAAATGTGTCAGATAAAGTTGAATGACCTTGGTTTTCAATCCAGCATTTATGACTGACTGCATGATCTCACATAAGACTATACTATTTAGTTTTCTCTTGAAGCTCTCCACTCTATCTTCTCTTCATAGAAATCTTTGTAAGACAAACAGGACTGGAGAAAATACATAATCTGACTTCTTATTCTATGAACTAGGAAATCAGGACCCAGAGTGGGCAAATAACATGTACAATGACACTAATAAATTCATGGCAAAATCAAGTCTGCAAGCCAGTTTTTTGTTTGTTTGTTTTCTGTTTTTTTGTTTTTTGTTTTTTGTTTTACTCAACCTAGAACCCTTGCATATAGACATTTTGCTTTATAACAAATGAAATTTGAGCTATTTGGCTAAAATGGCTCAATGAGCTTATTGTTTTAGTACAAGTTTTTGGTCACAAGTTTTTCTCCATTTGCTTCTGTGGAAAATGATGATGATATTATTATGATAATATTCATGACCATGATATTTAAAATATATTATAAGAATTCATCTTCTGTCTGGACCTAAGATAGCAATATTTACTAGATGCTGAGTAAAAAATTAGATTATTTCGTTTCAAACAGCAAAATTCCAGCTCAGTATTTAGATCCTAAGAGGTATTTCAGTGGATTCCTTGGCAGAACAGAGGTCAGGGTTTCCATGAGTCTGCAACCAGAAACTGCCTAGCTGGGATTTGACATTTCTCTACTCACTCTTTCTGGAGGATCTCTCATCTTTGTTCTCTACGGTATTTCTATCATTCTCACTTTCCTTCCTGGTCAGATTTTCTTGGAATACATTTGGTCACTTCAGCTTTTATATTATCTGCCTTTTCATATATCCAGCAGAAAGATCAGAGTTTTGATGTCTCCAGTCCACTTGCTAGGTGAGACCTCATGTTTAGCTGAGGCAGACTGTCTCCTCACCCCATGTCTAAATAGCTGGGCCCAGATGAAATAGTAGTTCCATAATGTAAATCCTATGAGTCAAGGTAATTTCTGGAGGAAGAATTTGGTACAGTGGGCAATCACCCCAGAATTTATTTGCTACAGTAAGAGAATGTTAAATAGCTTTCTTGTTCTGAAATGTTAGACATTTCTCTAGCAGACTTGTCAACATCTTAGCTTTTACTTGGCAGACTACACTTGTCATAGATGATTTCTTACATTTACATTTATCTTTGTCAGTATGTGCTTAAAATCTCTTTGGCTTATGCTTATATAATAATGCTAACAATTCAGAACATTTTCTGTATTGTCTTTATAAGTTAAGGGGAGGAATGTGGGATTTGATCTCGTCACACTGGGTTGAATCTCTAGGAGCTTTCTATGGATGTATTACTCCATCCTCACACTGCTTTGAAAGAATAACCAAGACTGGGTAATTTGTAAGAAAAAGAGATTTACTTGACCCACAGTTCTGCATGGCTGGGAAGGACTCAGGAAACTTGCAATCATGGCAGAAGGTGCCTCTTCACATGACGGCAGGAGAGACAAGTGCTGAGGAAAGGGGGAAAAGCCCCTTATGAAACCGTCAGATCCCATGAGAACTCACTCACTATCACAAGAACAGCATAGGGTAACTGCCCCCATGATCCCGTTACCTCCCAATGGGTCCCTCCCACAACACATGGGGATTATGGAAACTACAATTCAAGATGAGATTTGGGTGGGAACACAGCCAAACCATATCAATAGGCTAATATATTCTCTAGTGACTGGCACGTTAGGCAGTCTACAGCAAGTGCTGTGATCATTCATATTTCTAAAAGTTTAACTCTCCCCAAGTGGGTTGTGAGTTATGGCTATATCAAAGTATACAGTTCAGTGGTGAAGAGCACCTGTGTGGAATCAATAGAACTGGGCTTCTTTGGCTTCTGTGCTTCCCAACTTCATGACCATGGCAAATTACTTAACTTCTGCAAGCCATAAAGAATTATAATGACAGTACTATATGAAGCAGTGCTTATGAGGCATGAGGGGTAGGGGTAGTCATTGTGATTGGATTACTTGTGTTTACATACCCATTTGAATGCAATTAAAACTTGAACATTTGCAACCTTTTTTATGTAACAGAATCTGATGACCAAAACTACAGGGTGGAGGCAGTACATGCATTGGTGCACAAATTGCCAGAGAAGAACAGAGAGATGCTGGACATCTTAATAAAGCATCTGGTCAAGTAATTCTCTAACTTATATTGTTCATTTAGCTTACTGTTCATCTGTGAAGTTTGTTCATGTCTTTTTAAAGTGTGTGATGATGTTATACCATTGCTGTTATAATTAGAGTCCATTGAATTTGCTTAAAAAATAGTATGGCAGTTTGTTTTTAAGATATTTCTATATGAGTGTGGAACCTGTGTGTTTATTGCATATAATTATGCAAATAATTATCCTTTGCAATTGTTAAACTAATGATGAAACAATTAGATGTGTCAATTTTAAAATGAAGGATTATATAGTATTTTTTTTTCTCCCAATTATTTTAGGCTCATAAGCAATGAGTTTAAAGACCAGTGCTCTATACTATCAAAGTCAACAGGTTCACCTAGGTCAAACTAACACTTAACTGGTAGATTCCCTCCGTATATTAACAATTTTGCTTGATCTCGGGAGATTTTTCTAACTTTGCTTCTAGTTTATTCATATACTTTAAAATCTCTCTTTGTAGATATTACCCAGAATTATTTCCAGAAACAAAAGCAACAGTGTGTGTGTTTGTGTGTACATGTATCTTACATATATATGTATATATATATATATATATATATATATATATATATATATATATATATGTAGATAGATAGATAGATATATAGTTTGGCTGATTTTAAGGAATTGGTTCACATGATTATGGAGGCTAATAAGTCTGAAATCTGCAGAGCAGGCTGGCAGGATACAAGCCCAGGGAAGAGTTGATATTGAAGCTTGAATCCAAAGGCAATCTTGAGACAGAATTCCTTCTTACTCAGGGAACTGTTTTTTCTCTTAAGACCTTCAACTGATTAGATGAGGCCCACCCACATTATGGAGGGTAATCTACTCTACTTAAACTCTACTCATTTAAATGATAATGTCATCTGAAAAGAGTCCCTTCACAGAAACATCTAAGATAATCTTCAGCCAAATATCTGGGTATCATAGCCTAGCCTAGTTGACATGCACAATTAATCATTATAAATATTATATCTATGTACTCTTTCTCTCTCTAGAAATTGAAAGATACAGAGAGAGCAACAAATACATATTTAATCCCAAAGTGAATTGGCCATGCTGCTGGAAACAAACATCTAAATTCAGTTTTAAACTTACTGGAGAATTTCCTGTAGCATTATTTAGTATTTAATAGGGATATTTCCCATTTTAATGAGTACCATCATTTAAATAAAATGATTAATCCTTCATTCTTTGTTATAAGTACTGACTCAATATATGCACATTTGAGCCATATACATTGGAAATATAACTTGAGTATCCCAAATCTGAAAATCAGAAATTCAAAATGCTCCAAAATCTACAACTTTTTGAGTATTGAGATGGTGCTCAGTTATAATTGGAACTTTTTGGATTTGGGGTGCTCAACTGGTAAATATAATGCAGATATTTGAAAATCTGAAAAAAAAGCGTTGCATAAGGGATACTCATCCTGTTCTCAAGCACTTTGGATAAGGGATACTCAGCCTGTACTGCTACATAAAAATATTTATAAATCTCATCCCTACTTGCAGGCTTTTAGATAATATAATAAATCTTCCCCCACCTACCCATTACTACCACCATTATTTAAAATAAAAAGGAAGTATACTAAGATCAACATCGCTTAAAGTTCATCATTAATTATTGACCCATAGCAGCACTTATTTTAGCTAATGAACACAGGACTTGCTGTTGTTGGTCAGTCTTAGTTTTGAGTTGTGTGAGCTCTTCATGAAATTTACACAATTTGTTAGACATTTTTTTGCTGGTCTTCAAACTAATTTTTTAGCAAACACTTTGAAAATTTCCTTTTAAAATCCACGTGTGTCACATAAAATATGTTTGCTTAATTATTCAGAATGCTAGATTAATACAAGCTGCACCCTTAATGTGACTGTGTGTGGTTTTGGTATAGGGAATAGCACGGGAGAGTATCTGGCCACTAAAGAATGCTTAAATTACTTTGCTCATCCTTCCCCACCATTCCTGGCTTCTTTCTCGAACTTATAAAAGGTCAAGCCCTGCTCAACAAACAGAAGCTGTGGAATGTGCATTCATATCACCACAGACTTACTCATAAAAACAGCAAACAATAAATAACACTCTTGATCCTTGGCAACCTTTTATGGCTGAAAAAAAAAAAATTAGTAAAATCAACCTGGATTGGGATTCCAAAGAATAAAGGACTGATTCTGAATTTCCATTAATTAACTCTGAAAAATGGTATAAATTATTGCTTTCTTCCTGAGAGTCTTTTTGTTTGTCTTGAAAACAAATGCTGTCTGTGGTGTTTTCCTTGATTATCAAATAATTTAAATATTTAAAAGTGTTATTTCTTAAATTACAAAAAAAAAATGTATCCTGGGTGGACTTACCTATTCATTAGGAGATATAACATTTTAGAAAATTGTTATGGAATTTCCTTTGACTGTAAATGAAAAAGTGAAAGTTGATTTCTCCTAAATGAAAGGCTTTTCATTTTTCACATGGTTCTTTGTTAGTGGTGTTAAATTTGCCACTTTATTTAAGATGTTTTTAATTCAGTAAGATTCAGGTGACCAATAATCCTAATCCTTACTCAGTGCAAATGTGAAACTAAACAAACTCTTGGTTCTCTGTTTGGAAAGCCCTCTCAGAAGCGCATGACTTTGCTTCATGTATTTGAGTACTCTGTTATTAGCTATATATATATATATATGTGTGTGTGTGTGTGTGTGTGTGTGTGTGTGTGTGTGTGTGTGTTTATAATTGTTATATATTCCTGTTAGATTGACCCGTTTATTATATTTTATTTTTATCTCTAATAGCATTTATTTGTTTTAAAATCTATTTTACATAGATTTAAAATCTGTTTTGTGTGATACTGATACAGTTCTGGCTTTAATTTGGTTACTGTTTGCATGATACATCTCCCATCCTTTTACTTTCCACCTATTTGTATTTCTGAATTTAATGTATATCTACTGTAGAATGCATATCGTTGGATCTTACTGTTTTATAATTCAGTTTGATAATCTCTGACTTTGATTGTATGTTTAAAACATTTACATTTAATGCTATTATTGATGTGGTTGGACCTATGTCTGCCATTTTTGTTTGTTTCCTGTATGTTTCATGTTGTCTTTGCTATTCAGTTTCAACTTTATTGCTTGTCCTAGTAGATTTTCTAGAGCTTATCATATACATCTTATCAGAATATACTAACTTAATTCATGTGAGCTATAGAAACATTATTTTTACATAGCTCTATTTCCTTTTTTTGTACTATAATTAATAAACATATTATATATATATATGTTACATCCCAACAATAGTTATAATTATTTATATAATTTTATGCCTCTTAATGAAGTTGAGGGAAGAAAGAGGAGCAAGTATAGTTGTAGAATTTTATATGTTTATTAACCTTCTTATTTACCATTTATTAACCTTTTCGTTTATTCCTGTGAATTTGAGTTACCATCTGGTATTCTTTTCTTACTCCAGTACAGCTTTGCTCTCATGCTTTTCCTTTTTGCTATTATTGTCAAATATATTTTTTATGTGTTATGGGCCAATGTAATTATTAATACATACATATTATTAAAATTGCATTTTCAATCAAGAAAATGAAGGAGAAGAAATATGTATTTATACTTTTTTAATTACATAATTACCTATCTTTTTTTTTTTGGCTTTTACATGTACATTTGAATTATAGTCTAAGGTCACTTGCTTTCAGCCCAAAGGATACACTTTGATATTTTTTTGTAATGTGGATCTGCTAACAATTTTTGTTCACTTGGGACTGCTTTTATTTCACCTTCCTTTTTGTAGGTTAGTTTTGCTACATAAAAGATTCTTAGCTGGCAGACTCTTTTTCTTTAAGCATTTTGAATATGCCATCCCACTGCCTTCTAGCCTTTATTGTTTCTACTGAGAAATCAGTTGATAAACTTATTGGGGTTCCTTGTAGACCCCAATAAGACTTTTTCTCTCACTGCTTTCGGAAGTTTCTTTTTTTCTTTGGCTTTCAGCACTTTTCCTGTGATGTGTCTTGCTGTGGATATCTTTGCAATTATTCTACTTGGAGTTTGTTGAGCTTCTTGGATATGTAGGTTAATGTTTTTAATCAAATTTGGAAAATTTTCAGCCAGTGTATCTTTGAATATTTTTTTCTACTTCTCTCTTTCCTCTGCTACTGGTACTCCCATAATACATTTATTAGTGTGCTTTATAATGTCACTGTTTTTTTCTAATGATCTGTCTTCATTTTTTTTCTCTCCATTCCTCAGATTGCATAATCTCTATTGATACTTCAGGTTTACTGATTTACTCTTCTGCCAGGTTAAATTTAGTGTTGAACCGCAGTAATGAATTTTTCATTTCAGCTATTGTACATTTAAACTTCAATTTCCATTTGGTTCTTACTTTTAAAATACTCTCTTATTATTGATATTCTCTATTTGATGAAACATTGCCATCACACTTCCATACTTTATTTTTAGACATGGTTTTCTTGAGGACTTTGGATATATTTATAATGACTTCTTTGAAGTCCTTTTCTGTTAAATCTGACATTTGGGCCTGCTTACAGGCAGTTTTTGTTATCCACTTTTTTCCTGGTGCGTGAGTCACACTTTCCTGTCTCTTTACATTGTCATAACTTTTGGTTGAAGACATGGCATTTTAGCTACTCTTTTACAGTAACTCTGGATACTAATACTGATCCTCTGTTGCTTTTATTGTTGTTTACTTGTTTATTCCTTTTTTTTTTTTTTCTTTTCCAGACGGAGTCTCCCTCTGTCACCCAGGCTGGAGTACAGTAGCATGATCTCAGCTCACTGAAACCTTTGCCTCCCGGGTCCAAGCAGTTCTCCTGCTTCAGCCTCCCAGGTAGCTGGGATTATAGGCACCTGCCCCCACACCTGGCTAATTTTGTATTTTTGGTAGAGGTGAAGTTTCACCATGTTGGTCAGGCTGTTCTCGAACTCCTGACCTCAGGTGATCCACCTCGGCCTCCCGAAAGTGCTGAGATTACAGGTTTGAGCCACTGTGCCCAGCCTATTTATTTAGTCTCTTTAGTGAACTATTTTAATAAAGTCTATTTCCCCCTCAGTATGAAGTGTCTTCTGTTTTCTCTTCAGAGAATGCAGCCTTGGACATGACCACAGTCACCCAGGGGTAACAGTAGTTTCAGCGGAGTTCTGTTTGTTTCCTGAGCTGATCTATAAAGTTGTCTGCTTTATTTGGTATGATACCCAGCTCGTTAGTTTTCACTAACTGCTGGGAGATTGCTCTGTTGTTTTCAACAACACACTGGAGCATATCCAGTTAAATTCTGGCTCCTTGCAGGGTCACTTAAAAAAAAACAAAAAACAAAAAACAGGCTTTGAGATTTGTTATGATGCTAAGAGGGCTTGTTTTGACTGTCTGTTTCCCTAGTTATTTCTTACAAGTTCGCAAGAGGCTCAGAGTTTTCTGTTCTTATTTGAGTACACTCCCCAGGACAAAATCTTTGACCCATTGCTCTTGGCACTGGCTGAAGGAGGTAGCCCTGAAATGAGGGAAATTGTAGTGCCAATATTCTTGGCTTGCTGCACCTCAGGTAAAGCCATCCACCGTAGGTGTGTGGCTAGTTGGAGGCAGAGAATTCTCTGGGTTGTAGAGGCCAAATTCCCAGTGAGGGCCTTTTTAGTTGTTTCATTCAGTTGAAACAATACAAATGGGCAGATCCTGATATACATTTCCTGTTAAAATAAAAGAAAGGGAGATGTTCCAGAAGATAGCAGTTGGGTATCAGCTCCCTACATGAGTTGAGGGAATAAGTTATAGAACCTACTGAAATGGTGAGTGGTGGGAGTCTGTATCAACTGAGTAACCCAGCAGAAGGAAAAATGCAGTGAAAAGGAAATCAGTTATCAAAATAATCCATCTTCTGTGCCATGTAGTCATCAACCCACCTTTTCTAAACCAAGGTTTTGAGATTCCCAAGTTTATTCCTAATAAGCTTAATATTAACTGTATTCCACTTTGTTTACATTGTAGGAACTATGACATTTTAGCAAAAGTCCCTAACTGCTAATTTAATTTCAGGGAAGAATATTATCTTGAGATCATATATAATTTAATTTATTATTTCATTAAATTCTCGTAACAACCCAATATGGGTTGTTATATATATATATGTAATTTAAAGATAAGGAAACTGAAACCTAGAGATATTAACATAACTGAGCCCACCCAACTTCCAAGAGATGGATCCAGCTTTGAAACTAGATAGGCTTATTACATTTACATACTACTTTCCTGAGTAGATTTTCTAATACATATTAAGCAATTAATGTATAATATTTGATTATATTAAGAGGAAACTTGGAATGAAACTCTTCTTACTTGAACTAAATGCTTTCTTAGCTAGTGTTCTCTATGGCATAAGGAAAATGTCAGTCAGTGTGGCAGTCTTCTCTTCCTGTTCTGTGTCAGGAGTTGCATGGATAGTCTAACATCCTGGATTTCCCATAAAGTCTCACTTTTGGTTGTAGAATGCAGTTTGTGATGCATGGTCAGTCAGACATAAATATAGCCTGGTGTTATACTAATAACTTGACTTGGAATAAGATAGAAAAGTGAGTGGTTAAACTGAAAGATAAGTCAGACGAATGAGGTTTCCTGTAAAGAATGCATCTAATTTCCAGAATAAATTAATGAACTAGTCAAAGTCATCCTTGATAGTTGCTAGAAGTACTTCACTTGGGTCACTGTTATCAGAGGTTTTTCATTTTATTGTCAAGCCTGCAATAGTGCTACCAAGTCTTGTCTCACTGTTGGCCTAGCACAGCACCCAGCACTAGGGAGGCATTCGGTGAAGTTTTGAATGGATGAAAGGAAGGGAGGGAGGTGGAGGTGGGAGAAGTGAGGAGGAAGGACCACAAGAAGGAGAGAGGGAAGGAGGCAGAAAAGAAACGTGTTGGCGAGTGCTCTATCCTGGGAGCTCAAAGAACCCACTGACTTGCTGTCAGGAGACCTGAATTGAAACAGTACCTCTCTCCTGAATTTGTTGTGACCCCAAAATACACATTTCTTTAGGAGCTTCTGAGGATTTTAAAATTGTACAGTAGGAATATCTGACTTACTGGGAAGATTAAATTCAGTAATATATATGAATATTTCTAGCAGTAGGTTCTCAGTAATATGCTTTGGTGAGTCTCAATATAATTGCCACCAGTCTACTCTTAACTGTTTGTTCCAAAAGAATTATACTAGCATTGAAAATAACCGAACAGCTGATCATCTTCCTAGGGTAATTGTACTTGATTTAGGAAATTAGGATTTTTTTCTTTAATGGATTTTGTTTTCTTTGTAATTGTGTTTTACTTAAACTAATGTTAACTGTTTACATCTTTTTAGGCCATACTTCAAATACCAATTGGAAGTGGTTAAAAGTAGGACAATTTGCCTATAATGGCATATTTTATATTTTTTGCACCACAAATTCGATAGAAGAGACTATTTCATAATTTTGAAACATGTAACTTAAGATTTTTTTTTTTATCTTTTATTTGCAGAGTATCACTGCACAGCCAACAAAATCTCATGACTGTCTCAAATCTTGGTGTCATATTTGGCCCCACACTAATGAGAGCACAGGAAGAAACTGTGGCTGCTATGATGAATATTAAATTTCAGAATATTGTGGTAGAAATTCTGATAGAGCACTATGAAAAGGTATGCTGAATTTTCATGTGGAGGTGTCAAGTTTTTTATCTTTTATAATGAAATTTTGCATTTGTATCATCTTTGAGCTTTATATTGCAATCATTTATTCCTATAAAATGTAAAAAGCTCCTAAGTTTTGTATAAATTACTTCTTCATGGGGACTTCAATTTTCTTTCATTGTTGTTAAGTGCTTCTCAAAATTCTTTAGTTAGATGGCTTTCTACATAATTGACTGCTAAAGGTTTTCTTCTTTACATTGTGTGGTAAATTTATTGATCCTATACAGAGAACTCTTTAAAACCGCTTTGTGACTGGGTCTATTTAACCTTCTCTTTGTATCCCTTTGAAATCAAACTCTTAATTATTTAAAAGTAATGTTCTAACTAAACAAAAGAAAAAATATAGGGAACAGTCTTGAAGTCTTCTCTATATCTAGTCCCTAAGATGAATTTTTTTGGGGGAAAAAAAAAAAGATCTTAGGAATAACTATGGAAACGGGAAATTTTGAAAGCTGAGTTAGTTGGATTTTTAAGCAAATTCAGCCATTTAAGGTCTAATAATTTGCAGTCCTTTTATCTCTGATCTGGTCCTTGTGAGAGAATGATTAAGCCCCTCTCCTTCCTTGGGTCCCTTCCCAGCACCCACAGAAGCATTCCCAAGGGCACAAGCTGTCTCACAACCCAAGAACCCATGGCTGTGTCCTGTAGCTCTGCTTATACCCCTACCTGCAGCTTGTTACATTCCTTGACAGCTCAGAGGCAACAGCAAGGCACCATCTTCTCCTGAGAAGAAGGGAGCCATTCAGTGGGAGACATGATACAGAATGAGCCCCAGTTCCTCTCAGGTTATGTTTTTTTCAGAGCATGAAGGTGGAAAGAGACTATTACAATAATGGATATTTATTCATATTTGGAAGGTTTCTTAAAATCATTGAAAGATCTTCTAAATTTTACTTTTGGGGAATGGGAGAGAATGAAAAAGAAAACCCAGAAAAAGAAATAATACTCTATATAAATGGAAAAGTTACAGTTGCTCTAGGATATTCATTTTTTGTAGCTGATTAAGTAGCACATAGTTCTAAGACTATTTAAGAACAAAGCTTATTTTATGATGAAAGTGGCAATATCACCCTTTTATTGACCTTGGTCCATTTCTCTTATATGTAGATTTTTCATACGGCTCCAGACCCAAGCATTCCTCTGCCTCAGCCTCAGTCTCGATCTGGATCCCGAAGGACACGAGCAATCTGCCTGTCTACAGGATCTAGGAAGCCCAGAGGGAGGTATACTCCATGCCTGGCCGAACCCGATAGTAAGTGCACACGACCTTAGCGAGATGCTTTCTTCATTCTTTAATTCAGCTGCACTTCACTGTATTGGTAATTAGGTAGAAAGAGAAGATGTTGTCACTGATGCTCTTTTCCCAACACCTCCTCTTTTATCATTTGTATATTCTCTGTCAGTAGCTGTAAGGTTGCTTGGGTAAGCAAATTCATTATTGATACAAAAGGAAAGACGTAGTTTGCTCAAGGCCCTTTTTTCTGCAACTGTGATTAAGTACATTGGGTGCTACTTCGTAGCAGGTTTTGTCCTATTGTCAAAGTGGTAAAGAAGAAAGTAAGAGAAAGTCTGACTGAAGCTGTCATTTTCTTCCTTCCTTTCACATTATGTTCTTAACGCATTATCTCTTGGGTATCAGTGTCTGAAAGAGAAAAGAAATGAAAAGCAATAACACATATTATCATTAACTTACAGTCCTGAGCCAAACCCCAAGGTGACGTGGGTGGCACCTGGAGACCCCGGAATGCATTAAACTGTGGTGGTTCTCATTCTATTTTATACCCCCCAACCCCGATCTTTTGCCCACAGTCAATATTTAATAGAAAACAGTCAAAAACAATTTAATACAATTGTTATTGTACTAAAATAACAATATTTAGTACAATAACAATTATATTAAAATAACTAAAGGAATGTAATTGGATTGTTTGTAACTCAAAGGATAAATGCCTGAGGAGATGCATACCCTATTTCCTTGATGTGCTTATTTCACATTGCACACCTGTATCAAAATATCCCATGTTCTCCATAAATATATATACCTACCACGTGCCCAGAAATTTTTTAAAAAATAAAAATAGTTAACTAATTTTTAATTTGGATATATGTGAATGTATTATTACGCTTTATCTGATTTTTCTTACAACTTGCTTTTAGGAACATTAGAAAATGAACCCAGAGAAATAGCCAGTTTCTTACATTTCTATATTCTTAGCTGGAAAGGAAAAAAGCCTTTGAAAATCGAGGTGCTTGAAATTTACTACTGATATTTAATGGTGCCTTTGAATGAAAGAAGGCTGAGTCCTTTGTACCTTGGAATTAATCACTTATGATCAGAAAAGTAAAAGAAAGTGGAAATATGTCTTTACTATACCCCCTTTCATTGATTCCTTGTAATGTCATGAAGGAATCTTATTTCTCTTACTTCTGAATTCTGTTTCATAAACAAATCTTGTCTGAATTCAAGTCAGCCCACTTACGCTTCCAGAAGTAAAGTCATTACCTAAAGGTAGATAGTTCATAGGTACATATATAATCTTCCTAAAACATTATTGAAAAATACATTCGGCAAGTTCAAATGCATATTTTAAAGCCTTTCTCCGTACTGAGGACAATTCTCCATACAAGGTAGGCGCCTACCACTTAAATAGGGTCAGGTGGCCACAGAACACATGGTAAGTTCGAGAACGGAAGGGTTTTAGTGGTTCCGTTATCAATAGCTACACTTGCTTTTGTCTCTCTCCCACCTACTCCTCAGGTGACTCCTATAGCAGCAGCCCAGACAGCACACCCATGGGGAGCATTGAGTCACTCTCTTCTCATTCCTCTGAACAAAATAGCACTACAAAGTCAGCTTCCTGCCAGCCCCGGGAGAAATCTGGAGGGATTCCTTGGATTGCAACCCCATCATCTTCCAATGGACAGAAAAGCCTCGGTCTCTGGACAACTAGTCCTGAATCAAGTTCTAGAGAAGATGCAACCAAAACGGATGCAGAATCAGATTGCCAGAGTGTTGCTTCGGTCACCAGCCCAGGGGACATTTCCCCACCGATAGACCTAGTCAAGAAAGGCCCTTACGGGCTTTCAGGACTGAAAAGAGCTTCTGCTGCTTCTCTCAGATCCATCTCTGCAGCTGAAGGTAAGCCAGAGTGGAACTTGTGCAAGATGTTATTGTCTCAGTATCACTTTTGCTGGATTATTCAGCATGATTAAGCAGGGATAAAGTTAATGGTGGAGAAACTAATGATGCTTATCTACTTTGTTCCTGTGCTTGGATTTTATAACCTAGGCACTGTGACATTTTTCCTGAATCTTTCCATGTCTGTGAAGTGATGTCTTTGTAATTACTGTAGATTTTGATCTCCCTGTGCGATGGGTTGCTGTGCTCAAAGAACATTCTGTACCTTCCCATTTGGGCTCAGAGAAAAATGCTTCCTTTTGTTATGCACATGTACTGTGTTATTGCTATTATGTTGTCTAATAGCACCTTGCCTATTTTCTTGGGCTTTCTTTTTAGGAAACAAGAGCTACAGTGGATCTATTCAAAGCTTAACTTCTGTAGGTTCCAAGGAGACACCCAAAGCTTCACCAAACCCAGACCTGCCTCCGAAAATGTGCAGGGGGTTAAGACTAGACACTGCCTCAAGCAATGGCTATCAGCGTCCTGGCTCAGTGTAAGTGAGAGTTTATATGTTTACTGTGTCTCCCAGGGATATCGAGGACTTGAGTGTTTCAGAAGAACTCTTGGGAATCCCACAAGTTGAATAAGTTGGAAATACTTCATCTGTAGAGTGGGTACAGTCCACTTCTGTAGGACTCTATTCTATAAGTGATGTGTAAGTTAGAGTAGTTTTCACATATATACAGAATCTCACAGGGCAGCACTTCAAGCACTTTCCTTTAAAGCAGATCAATGACTTAATTTGAGGAAATGAAAATTGATGTATAATACAGTAGTTATAAGCTTTGAAATTAAAGCGTTCCTATAAAAGACAGACATCCATCTCTCAGCTGAAGACTGCCATGTATTGACTATAAGCCAGGTCCCTGCCCTTCTCTTTTAAAGCAGCTTCTTTCTCTCTTCCATTCTGCACCCCTACCTGAGTCCTCAGTGATTTAAACAAGCTGGTGGAGAATTAGGAACATGAAAGGCAAAAGAGGGTACTTCTCATCAAAGGAAATGATGCAGAGGTGTAAAGGCTGATAAGAGAAGGGAACACAGACGGGAGGAGACAGTGAGGAAAGAAGAACAGTGGAAGCCTGGCTAAACAAGCAAGCAGCATCCAGAGATATGAAAAGTTTCTCTCCCTTTCATTTTGTTTCTCTGACATTTGCTGAAAATTTCCTAATGCTGTCTGAGCCATTACTAGATATCTTTACATGAGTTACCTCTTTTAAGGTCTGCAGTGTCCTTTTGAAATAGGGAGTATAAACCACATTTTAGAGATGATGAAAACTGATGCTTTCTAAGTTTTCCAACCTAGGGTTCTCTGACTTCAATTCTGTGTTCTCTCTGTTATACCATCCCCATTTTTAATATGATGGTATTCTTCCTGACATTTTAATTATTCATTAAAAGCCCAGTAAGACATTTTGCCAAGCCTGTTTCTATAGGAACTGTGTCATAAATTCATTAGTTCATCGTTTTCTTGGACAAGAACCTTTTGGTTGCACAGCATGTTCAACATAAGTTACCTCTGTTTGTTGGAAATCCAGTTACAGCGGTGTAGGCAAATATATTTGTCAAAGTGTCTACTAACCATTGTGTATAGTCCTAGCCATTAAGGGAGAGAAATGTTAAGCCAATATGTTAGGGAAGATGAGAGACTAGAAACTCCATTCTCTGTGGAGGAAAGAGAAAAGCTTCTGTTTTGTGATTGTACTGTTAAAGTAGAAATTCAAATGAGAAAAACGTGTGTTCTATATTAGGTCTAAAATGATCTTTGAGATTATCAAATGGCTTGGCTCTGGGAGAAGAGTTTGTCAATTAAAGAAGTAAGGTAGATTTTTTAATCTAGCTTAGGTCATCAAAGAATTTTGTATCATCTTCCAGCAAATATAGAAACTCTTTCGGTTCTTTTCAGTCATACTCAACACTCTTACCTGTTCAACTAGATCATATCCTGTCTGTCTTGCCCTCCTTGGTTCAAAACAAGATGTAAATCCACAGATTATTGGCCATATTTTCAGAGTTTGTCCTTTTCACTCAACAGACATATGTCCACATATTAAAAAATACTTGAGATAGTTGTTATAACTAGTGTTTTGTTAGCTAACAGAATGAAAACAGTTCTTTTGTCAACATGATTTGATTCTTTGCATCTTCACTTTGTGGCTCCACAGTAGTCGGTAAGTGTTGCTGGGAACAGAGTAGAGAGAAAATGTTCCTTCTACTGCTCCCATGGTTTTTTGAGATAAAAAGGATGAGGATGGTAAGATCCCCAGAGGAAGTAGCTATAGGTTTGCTACAGTCCAATACTCCGTAAGCTAGAGGTTAGATCTAAAAGTCTCATCAACATTAAAGCTTAAAACAATTAAAATTCTGTCCCAATTTTGACAGTGGTTCTTAACCGTTTTTTGTCTTGTTTAACTGATACTCCTGAATTTCAGTTTGAGCAGAATGAATGTATTGACTTCGTGAAACTTGCATTTTAAATCATTTTTCAGAGTGGCAGCAAAAGCTCAACTGTTTGAAAATGTTGGTTCACCTAAGCCAGTTTCTTCTGGGCGGTAAGTTCTCAAAACCCTTAAATGCATTTAAAAAAAAAAAAGTGGTGATATTGTTGCTTTGTATTGACATGACACTCTGTGATAGCTCCACCTCTCTGTTACGCGGATGGCAAACTTACACCCAGTGGCCCTTCAGAGGAAGTCATTCATGTCTATAAACAGCATTTATCCTCTCAGATTGTTACAGTGATGTCTCATTTGCTGAAATCTTCACAGAAGGGTTCTAAACAAATGCATTTACTAGAAGATAAAAGTTGCTATAATCCTTCTTCCAACTTTGATGACAGTCATTTTAGGAACACTTTTGAAAAGCATGTTCTTGATTTTTAAAAGTTATGTAACTTTTTCTGAAGCAATCATCATGGACATCCATTGAAAAATATGGTTATTCTTAAAAACCACTGATATGTTGTAGAGTTAATTGCCCAAGGCTACTCTAAAAGAGTACAGAACTTCATTAGGCTTCTCAGATTTTACATTCCGCTCCATTATGAGTTGTTACATTTCTGCTGCTAATGTGGTTGCTTCTAAAATTCCTGCTTTACTCTTCTTGCTTTCAAATGTATTCATCTGATCTACAGTGGGTTTTGGTTTTTAATTGGAATAACGGAATTTAATATAGGCAGGGACTTTTCACTATTTTTTTTTTTTTTTTTTACTATCAGCAGCTAGTATGGGTAGGAGACACTCCATAAATGCTTAAATGTTGAAAGAGCGTATAAATGAGAAAACTTGAAGAACAAATCTTGATTTCTCCTTTAAATGTACCAAGACATTTTTGAGCATCTCATGTCTAGCTAAGTGAGGCTGTGAAGTAAAGGAATCACAGATAATTGAGTTATTGCTGTATAGTTTCTCTAAAGGTTATTTAATCAAGTAATTTTTATCAAACTGTTAAAGTATGTGGACTTTTTCAGCAAACATTTAAAAAGTACCTATATGTTACTGGGCATGTGAGTGTTATTAAGGATAACAATGACTTTCATACCCTTTTTGGTTTTGTTGAAAGCCCAGTGAGGGCCATCATGTATTAGGTTTTATGTTTTGTCTTGTTTGATATGGAGTCTCATTCTGTCACCCAGGCAGGAGTGCAGTGGTGCGATCTCAGCTCACTGCAACCTCTACCTCCCAGGTTCAAGCGATTCTCCTGCCTCAGTCTCCCGAGTTGCCATGACTATAGGTACATGACATCATGTCCAGATAATTTTTTGTATTTTTAGTAGAGACAGGGTTTCACCATGTCCGCCAAGATGGTCTCGATCTCCTGACCTCGTGATCCGCCCACCTCAGCCTCCCAAAGTGCTGGGATTACAGGCATGAGCTACTGCACCTGGCTGTATTAGGGTTTTTTTTAACTGCACAGAGTAGAGCCACTTTGGAATCTTCCTAGAATAATGGTCATTGCCTATCATTTAAATAGCTGAGCCCACAGTGCTCACACCTTACCTCTGTCAGCAGCGTCTTTATCTTCTTCCTTTTGACCAAGACATGGTGAAAACTAAGCCCCATGCATGTCATAGCAAACAAAATTTCTCTGAGATTTTCTTGATTTTTAAGTCTAACTATAAAGGATTTTAACCTTGCTACTTCTTCTGTCATGCTATATGGTTGAATTGCTCACTAGATGGAGCCCTTTTATTAGGAAGCTCTAAAAAGAGTCTACCTGTTAAGTAAAAACTTAAGTAATCGTAACCAAAGAGGTAATCCCCATAGAGCTTTAAGAAAATAGGCTATAGATAATGTAAATCGGAAAGCCAAAACATAATAAAAACTCAGATGTTTAACAGTCAACTCATACTCCTTTTTTTTTTTTTTTTTTTTTTTGGAGACAGTCTTACTCTCTTGCCCAGTGCGTGACATTGGCACAATCTCAGCTCACTGCAACCTCCACCTCCCAGGTTCAAGTGATTCTCCTGCCTCCTGAGTAGCTGGGATTACAGGCACCCACCACCACACCCAGCTAATTTTTGTAATTTTAGTAGAGATGGGGTTTCACCAGGTTGGCCAGGCTGGGCTTGAACTCCTGACCTCAGGTGATCCACCCACTCAGCCTCCCAAAGCACTGGGATCACAAGTGTGAGCCACCACACCTGACCAACTCATACTTCTTTCACATGTTTTTACATTCTGAATATTCTAAATCCACCTCTAATGGGGATCAGCATAGACTTAGAGCTCACTCAGCTCTACCTTCAGAGTTGCAGTCTGTCAGTCAGTCTACAACACTTGTGATTTGTGTCACAGCTTTTCACTGAGGTAGGCACAGGGGAACACAAACAAACTTCAGGTGAGAGAGACCCTAGTTTACATTTTTAGTTCACCACTTTCTAGTTTGTGTAACCTCAGAGTTACCAATTTTGGGGAATCTATTTTCTTTATGCATACACTGAAGGTAGTAATCTCAGCTTGCCACATTGTTGGGAATGTACACCATACTGTGTTTAAACAGGACAGGTACACTGTAGATGGTTTCTACGTTAATAACTATTATTATGATTATTGTTGAAACTGCTTGCCTTAGACGCTCAAGCCTCTGATTAATATATGAGTGGTATTTAAACACTAAACACTAACTCTTAACAGTCACCTCACATCCTTTTGTACTCTTAAATAAAACTGAACAACTCATAGAAGCTAAGGGAATTTCTCTGACTAATCTCCTACCATGCCTATCTTATACTTTTTTTTCGTAAGGAGCTCAAGCTTACCCTTGAATTAGACCTTGAAAGAGATAGAACCAATAGAGGCAGTAGGAAGACTAGCCATATTTGGGAAAGAGACCAGTTGGGATATTTTAGTGGATGGTCTTGAGCAACAGAAAAATAACCCCTTTGGCATTGCCCCACGCACTGCATGGTGGGTGATCTAATCAATGATGCACCGGAACAGATCATATTCCAGGAGCTTGTGAAGGTGAAAGAACAGTCAACCATTTAGGATGGAACTGGTGAGATTTAAAAGGCCTTAATCAGTAGAGTAGTGAAAGGATGAAAAGCTATAAGGAGATTTTTAGGCTAGGATCAGGATTGGGCAACTGTTTTGATATTGGGAATAACAGACAGGTAAAGAAGTTTCCAAGTCTCTGAGACAGTGTCTGAAAGAATGGTGGTTGAGCTTCTGATCTTAGCTTGTGTGTATGTAGAAGGAAGTGAAAGTTTTGGCCATAGGGTTTGAGGAGGCTAAGGGCCAATGAGAGGCAGTTAGAAATGTGCAGCTGGAACTAGGAGAGAGCATGGAGTTTGATGCCATTTAAGAAACTTCTGGCCGGGTGCAGTGGCTCATGCCTATAATCCCAGCACTTTGGGAGGCTGAGGCGAGTGGATCACGAGGTCGAGAGATCGACACCATCTTGGTCAACATGGTGAAACCCCGTCTCTACTAAAAATACAAAAATTAGCTGGGCATGGTGGCGTGCGCCTGTAGTCCCAGCTACTTGGGAAGCTGAGACAGGATAATGGCTTGAACCCAGGAGTTGGAGGTTGCGGTGAGCCGAGATCATGCCATTGTACTCCAGGCTGAGTAACAAGAGCGAAACTCCGTCTCAAAAAGAAAAAAAGAAACTTCTACACGGCAATTACACTGTATATGTGAAGGTGAGGGTACCTAGCAAGGAGGCTTACTAAATGAAAAAGAACACATGGGCAAGCATTGGTCATTGGGGAATGATTTTATTTAGTTCAGACAAAAAAGAATGTACAGGATGAGAAGCCATGACCTACAGTGGCAGAAGCTGCAAAAAATGGTTTAGATCAGGAGAGGACTCTGGTTTTAACTTCTAAGACATCTGGGAGATCTGTAAGAAAGCAAGTTCACTGGAATGGGAGGGGCCGTGCTGCAAGACTTGTTAAAATGAAGATTCCAGGGTTTTGCCGTAGACCTTATAAACCACAGTGTCTGAGACCGAGGCCTGAGGAATCTGCATTTTTTTCAACCTCCCTGAGTGATTCTTCTGTACATAAAAGTTTGAGAATTTTTGGAATAGAGAAAAATGTCTTTTGCTTGGCACAACCCTAAGCAGAGATTAGTTATTTACAATTGTTTTCCTTAATCTATAAAATCCCATTAAGAGCCAAATGTCACTAGGCTGTGTCTTACCATGATAAAGGCATATAAACCTTGACCTGGGTCTCAGTTATACTCAGGAGATCCACTTCAAAGTTGTATAAACAGGCAAGCTATACAAATATCCTCTGAAGGATGAGTTGAGAATTAGGAGTGTAAATTGAGAATTGAGCATCTGGTTCATTATAAACAATCAAATATTATCAAATTTTAAAAGACAGATTTTTTGCTAGAATTACAAAGGACAAAAATCAACAAAGTTATCTTGCTCAATGAGTTTGAATTTTTTTTTTTATGTTTTTATTTTTTTATTGCACTTTAGGTTCTGGGGTACATGTGCAGATTATGCAGGGTGTTGCATAGGTATTTACATGGCAAGGTGGTTTGTTGCCTCCATCCGCCCGTCACCTATAACTGGCATTTTCCCCCATGTTATCCCTTCCCACACCCCTCTGTCCCTCTCCAACCACCTCCCAACAGACCCCAGTGTGTGATGCTCCCCTTCCTGTGTTCATGTGTTCTCATTGTTCAACACCTGCCTAAGAGTGAAAACATGCAGTGTTTGATTTTCTGTTCTTGGTCAGTTTGCTGAGAATGATGGTTTCTAGGTTCATCCATGTCCCTACAAAGGACACGAACTCAGTGTTTTTTATGGTGTATATGTGCCACATTTTCTTTGTCCAGTCTATCATCAATGGACATTTGGGTTGGTTCCTGGTCTTTGCTATTGTAAACAGTGCTGCAGTGAACACTCGTGTGCATGTGTGCTTATAATAGAACGATTTATATTCCTTTGGGTATATACCAAGTAATGGGATTGCTGGGTCGAATGGAATTTCTATTTCTAGGTCCTCGAGGAATCGCCACACTGTCTTCCACAATGGTTGAACTAATTTACACTCCCACCAACAGTGTAAAACTGTTCCTGTTTCTCCACA